GCCGAGAGCTTCGGTGGGTCCGGGAAGGCAGGGCTGGAAGGGGGACCCCCGCCCCGCGGGCGCGCTTCTGCGGAGCCTCTTTGGAGCTGCCACGGGCCCCTTTGCCCGGGATCCGCTGCTCTGGGGCGCACGTGGCTGGGGAGCCCCGCTGGACAGAGTGCACGTCTGAACGGCGGCAGACACGGGGTGGGTCCTTCCCACCCCCTTCCCTGGCCGAGGAGCGGGTGGAGCGAGGTCCCGTCGGACCCATCCGGGGCGAAGACGGTGAGAACTCGGGGGTCGGCGGGGAGGAGGGCGGTCCCCGCCATCCAAACCCGCGTCGGCACACTCGTGGGCACGTGTCTTCCAGGGAGCGTGGAGGTTGAGCCTGGGGACGGGTTCATCTTGGGGGGTCCCGCCCTCCCCCTTTCCCCCCTCAAACAGGAGGCTCTGCGATGCTAAAAAGATGGGGGGGGCATTTGGTAAGCACACAGCATTGCAAGCAACTCGGGGCAGGGACCTGGACTCTGTACACAACAGAGTTTCTCAGCCTTAGCAACGGTAAGAGGTGTGGAGAAGCCGGGATAAAAATAATATCAAATGCAGATTTACATAGTTCAATACAGTTCATATGTATTAAATCAGTTCTTCCTTCTAGCACAGGGTTTCTCAACCTTGGCGACTTGAAGACGGGTGGACTTCAACTCCCAGAATTCATGGCTGGCTGGGGAATTCTGGGAGTTGAAGTCCACCTGTCTTCAAGTCGCCAAGGTTGAGAAACACTGGTATAGAATCCTGTTGGAATTGCTGAATAAGGGGGCAGGCTGGCTTGGCACGGGAGAAAACCTTATCCTGGTAGTTAACAGTCCAGTTTGGATGATCCATCTTTTGCCCCTGGCTGACCTTGTCTGTGATCACAAGCTAAGCAAGTTTGGACCTGGTTAGGATGTGGATGGGGGACCACCAGGAAGGCCCTGAGACCTAGATTAGACTGGGAAGTCAAACAAACCTGGGAAGAAAGCAGTGGCAAACCACTTTCATATTGTTGCCAGGAAAACTGCAAGAGATTTTACTTTTTAAAAAAAGGATGTTGCGGAAAATCAGGGTTTCCAGCTCTCAATTCAAGTAATTCATAGTCATCCTTCACACACACACGCCCCGACCAAGATGCTGTGGCTTATTTTATTTTCAATATTTGCCCCTCTTCTGAATTCAAAGGCTTCTCTTCCGAATTAAAATATAGAATAATTATTAGTAAAGCAACCTAAAAGCTGGTCACAGTGTCAGTAAAGAAAACTGTGTTTGGTGCTTGAAACCAAACAGTATTTGCTATCTGAGATCAGGGAGCAATGGAGAGTGAAGGGTGGACTTTCTGCCCTAAATGGAGGGTTGCTTTGAACTTTGGGGCCACCCCGAAAAAGACTCTGCCTCTATGGATGTCTCTTGTATGTCTTTTTTTGGCATGCTTGTTACTGTTTTAAACACTCCTTTTGGAGGAGTGATGTATAAATTAAATAAAATGTATTTATTGATCAGCAATATTTTTAGGCTGCCCCGATCAAAGTGAATTCTGAATGGTGAACAATGGTTCTAACGTTCAAAACAGTCATTAAAATTACTGTAATTTTAAAACAGTAATGAAAAACAGCCCACAATAGCAGGATAGTAATTATAACAACAATGCCTATAACAATAATTAAAAAAAACAATAATAAAACATGAAGCAGAAAATTGGGGTTTCCAGCTCTCAGTTCAAGGAACCATAATCGCCCTTAACCCTGGCCAAGATTTATTTTCCAAGTTTGCCCTTGCTCTTCCAATGAAATTTCAGCAAGGCTTTTTTTCCAGATTAAAACATATAATAATTATTAGTTGTTGTTGTTCAGTCGTTAAGTCGTGTCCGACTCTTCATGACCCCATGAACTGTATCGCGCCAGGCCTTCCTGTCCTTCACTGCCTCCCTGAGTT